CTGAAATTTCAGCAACTGCTAGACCGATCGACTTGCAGTCTTTTTGTGGAAGGGCCTCACCAAGCATTGAGGCCCTTCCACACTCTCTGTACGTATGGTTGCCTCAACTGCACATGCCATGTGTAAAAAAATAAAGGTGTCAAGTTTGTTCCCATTGCAATAATTCGGCAATTATGGGGTTGACTGTGCTGAAACTTGGCATGTCGCTAGTCACTCAAACAGTAGGTTTGAGTTTCCCACTGGGGAATGAAATTTCTGTGCATCACGGTTGGGATACCACTACTTGCGCATCTGCAGGCGTCGCTTCCGCACGTCGAGAATGGTCGGTCCGACTGCGCTCAACTTTGGTACACCGTCGACTTTTGAGGGCCAATTAGAAGGATGGACCGCTCAAGTCTGTCGGGATGCCATTTCGCCCTTGCACGTGTAGGAGTTATCGCAGTCGCTCGTTTGTCGCCCCCCAAACGGGTTTTAACGGGTAATTAATGATGCATACGACACGTCGCATTGAGTTGCTGGTTGATGTTCACTACAAATGTTCTTTTCACTTTCCCTTTTCCAGCGCTTGCCTAGTGTCCTGGAGCTCAATGCCTGATGGGTTAAGCTCCTTAGTCTGCCTGATTAAGCATGCAGAGTTCTTCCATTTTAGCAGCGTGTCTCTCGGAAGTTCCCAATGAACGGCGATGGAGGATTCCGGCCGTCAGCAGACTCGGCAGCGAGGCAGTGTGGTAACGCTGCCGCCTGATAGGTAGACTGTGCCGCTGCACAGGGAAGCGCGGCGGCACAGTCTAGCACTCGCGGCGGCGTGGCAGTTCAGCGAGGGTTAGACGTAATGCATCAACAGGTGATACGGACGGGCCTTATATGCTCAAGATCGGTTAGAACTCAAATGTAACAAACTGGAGAACTTAACCCTCGCCCTGGCAGGGCATTTTTCATAACACGGCCTGGCAGGGGGGGTCGATGCGACCCCCCCTCGCGATTGGCTCCTATGGCACCTAGAAACACCAAATTTGGTAGGTAGGTGAGCCCCCTGGAGTTCTCGCCCCTGTGCAAATTTGGTTGCTCTAGGTCAATATTTAGGGGGGGTTTTGGGGGGTATAAATGTAAAAATTTCGCTAAAAACAGGTCAAAAGTTTTTCGCTTATAACTTTTGATCTAATTAAGATAGAGCAAAAAGAAAAGCACCAGTGAACTCAGCACGTCAAGGCGCGTCGAATGATATACTTTTCAGCTTGCTTAAGTGTACTTAAAGTTTTTCTTAAATTTTAAGTAAACTTATAAATTAAGTTCAATTTAACCAAATTGCATCATATCGCATATCATTCGATTCGGCTGATCACCAGGAACACAATGATACCATTTTTTAAGCTCTAGCGTCATTATGTGCCAAGTTATTGGCAAAAACGTCATTTGACCTCAGTTGACCTCATTTGACCTGACCCATGGATAAGTACACCAAACAAAGAAGCACAAGTGACCTGCTGCTAAGTACTGTGGTTTGAAAGCACAAAAGTGATAGAAAGAAGCGGATATCTCCATTATTTTCCGAATTTAGTATTTTCCCATAGGCTTAACATTACGACGTAATGACCTCTAACTGACCTCAGGTCAGTGACCTCAAAAAACCCAAACTATATGTTATACAACTCGGTGAACTTAGCACATCCTGAAAGTTTGAAGGAAATCAGTCCAAAACTGTGAGTTGGACAGGTGCAAAAAGAAAATTGAAATTTGACCATGACCTTGTACCGTTTTTTCTGACCTGGTGACCTGACCCAAGGTCACCCGGACCTGAAATTTTCAGGTCATATGTAAAAAGGTTGCCCCATAGGCTGTGCCAAATTTGGCGGCGCTGCGCGCCGCCGTTTTTACGCTATCTTCGAAAAACCTTGGGGGGGTCGCATCGACCCCCCCCCCCTGCCAGGGCGAGGGTTAATAGCGTGACCTTGTGGTGTTGAATAAGAGATATAAGCTATTAGAAAACAGAGGCAAGCAAATGTCCAGTAGGGTATCCACTCTGCATTATTGGTGACAGTTAGGGGGAGAATATGTCTTTATCAGAAACAGCACGGGCACACAACTATGTTATTCAGTATTCCTGTCTGCTATGAATATTATGGACAGTAAATGGAATAAGCCTACCTCCGATAACGTCTGGCGAATCCTCACCTGCATGTTTGATTTGCCGGATCGCGCGGTTGCCCCGGGTATCGCTTTCGCTGTCCATTTGTTTTGTCCCAATGGTGTTTCTCTTTTTCCTTTTCATGACATCATCTTGGGAAATCGTGATACTTATGTTTCTTGGCATCAAATGACATCAGTACAATACTTGACATTCTGCACTCAGTACATATACGTAAAATATTCATTGTAATATGCTCATGAAAATGCCTTGTCAATGTCAATTACCACGACAGTAGTGTCCCGAGAGTGAGTTGATTAGCAGTAATTTTGCACACTGTTCTTGCTTGTTACATGCTGACTGCTTCGATCCACGTTAGAGCTTGGGACGCCGCTGGTCCGATAGCGAGCTCTATAGCTCCTCGGGCCCGACGGTGGAACTGTTACACACCAGGGTCAGCTCTTACGCTGCACCCCATGATGCCGGAGGTCCTGAGTTGAAAACCACGGCACCTCTAGACGTGGAGTATGGAGGACATGATGACATGATGTGGAGGTTGTAAAAGTAGCAAGCTAATGAGGACTTTCCTTCGTAAGAAATATTTCCGGTCGGAGCTTTGGAGCCGTAATTACAAAACTTTGACAGCTTGTCATAATCCCCTCGAACCCGATTACGTCACGCTCACGAAGTTTTGTAAGTGCAACTCGGAACCTCCTGGTTGAAAGATTTCTTGAGGTAAAGTCCTCATAAACTTGTTACTTGGGACCAGGCTCTATATGGACGTTGACACCGCCGGTTTCGGTCGTCTTGTGTCGTCTCAGGTCCCATATTCAAGTGCCATACTATTCTATTCACGGTATTTGGCAACATTTACAGTGATATAGTGTTGGCAAATGCGTAACCAAGTCAGTGAAACAATTCCTGGAACCGCCAATATATGATTCACAGAAATGCGTAAAAACTATTTTAACTTGTCAGCCGTTTTCTGCAGCTGCACTGCAGTCATTGCTTCAAATCCATTCTACGGTATTAATAAGATTGGGCAGTGTCCCATGAACCGGGCGCCGTGACGCCCCAGGCCCCCAGCCGGAACTATGCCGATTTCAGGTCTCATATGCTGGACCCTGTGCCGCCTCAGGCATGCAATCAGTTACGGTGTCACCCCAAGCCCTGCTGCTCGATCGGGGCCGGTGTCGAGCGTGATGGATTGGCCGAGGAAGTGAGCTCCCTAATGCCGCCGCCACCGACGGCTATTAATCTGGCGCACTGGCTACGCTTGTCGCGCGTAGTGGGTCCAATATTCCCGCAGATTAGGTTTTATCTTTTTGTGCGTGCTGCTTTGTTCGGTCTGTTGTTGGTTGGCGGTGCGGTTCGGCGAAAATTGCGACACGGTGGATCGAGTTTATCACCTGCCTCCGTGCCTCGCACGGAGGCTCCCCGCGTCAGTCTCTGGTATTAGCTTTTGCTCAGTCGCCAAGAGGTACTTTTCTTTGGGGGGAGGCTCGTGTAAAAAGCACGCCTTGGTTGCAGTGGGTGTCAGCCGGATCTAGTCATGAGTCTTAACGGTCCATTGGTGATCACATTTCACCGGGCGTCACTGAAAGCTATTATCTCGCTGATGAGTTGGTGCCGGGGGCGTCGGCTTGGTTTGACCCGCGATTGTCTGGTGGTCTGAGAGTTTGGGGCCGACAGTTCATATCAGATGTTATTGTTTTCAAACTGAATCTGATACTGGTGTGGGTTTTTCTATATCGACGGCCTCCTTTGTGTCTGAAACGACGATAGCAAGTCGGAAACAAAGTCGTTTGAAATGGTTTCATCCGTGTTTCCATCGATGCATTGGTGATAAAGATTAAAGTTGATTGGAAAAGTTATTGTTCCTGTCTGGTATATGTTCTCAGTCTCAACCAGACGGCATTTCAGACGATACGTCAGTACTTGAATGTGTCTTATTTTGCCTTTGTCAAGAGCACGCTTTCTAACACCGGTCAGAGCAGAATTTCTGCTCAATCGCTGGTGTTGCAATCCTTCCTCCCTCTCACACACACACAGACACACACTCTTACTCAGCGGGGCCCGAGTTTTCGGATACCCCATCGGGGTCGTGACCCTTGACCCGGGGTTACCGAACCGGCCGACCGAACGTTCAGCAGATCACAGGACACTTTGGCGAATGCTGCAGGGGAGCCGCCATAAAGTCGCGAGGTTCTTCATGGAGCATACTAACTACTGCACACCCTGATGGCGACAGCCAACTTCTGTGGCTGGTGTCCGGCTCAGACGCTAATGAAATTTGTGCCTGTCTCCGTGAGGCAACTTGTTGCTTGTGTGGTATCTCCTTCCTAGTCGTCTCCCGTGCTCCGCCCGTTCCCAAATCATCGCCTGCCTCTACCTGTATTGTTTCCCGGTTATCCATTGCCCACTGCCCAGATGTAGCATTGGGAACACATTACCATGATTTGGAAAAAAAAACTATCGTGAAAAACTTCAAAGCAAAGAGACGTGAATGGCAGGCGAGTGTTTACTGTATAGCAAATTACCTGCTTCGATGCGTGCCAGAGAGGAGCGAGGACCAGGAATAAAATATCCCTGACGTGATGCTACTCGATCTGGCTTAATCTGGCCCGTAGCTTTTGAGTCGTATGAAGGAGTAATGCGCACATTCTAGCAAAATATTATTTTAAAAATAGTTCCAGCCCAGTTAGTTCCAGTTTTGTAACGCACTGTGTTTTCCATCATGTCCTTCCTCTCGGCACTGTGTTGTCACTTTGTTCCCTGGGTACACTATATCCGCATCATATCACGTTCAAGCCACGTTTTCCCTTATCTCATATTTGTTTACCCTGATCTGAAATGTAATTGTTGTGTGTTTCAGATCTGGACACCAAAGCCAGCGGCCTGTCTATAATGTCTCAGAAGTACCGGAAGGACGCGCGGAACCTAAACATGCGCAGCTTCTACGCTAAGGTGGCTGCCGGCGGTGTATGCGCCCTCGTCTTCATCCTCTACTTCTGGGTTCTCTAGTGGCTTATTCCGGTTCAGACCGGATCGTTCCGGCCCGGTACGGTTTGTACTGGATCACGCCGGTTGCACCGCGTCATCCAGATGCTTTCGGCGTCAAAGACGCGGCGTTCGCGGCTCGCTGTCGCGCCGGCCGGTGATGGTTTCGTGGCTTGGGGTTGGTCGTTCGCTGCCATCGCTGACAGTGTGCCCCGAGCTCGAACAGCCTTGTAATTCCAGCGCGGCGCATCGCCGCCCAATTGTGTTATCTGTGCTATTGGTTGCGGGGTTGAACGCGACGCCCGATGGACGTCCAAAGTCTGCGCTCGTCGTCGCCGCGAGTTATTGGCACTGAGAGAATGCGCCGGCGGCGACCGGGGACGAAAAATAGCAGCGGGTACAGACGCCGGCTCCGCTGGCATTGTCAGCGGTGAGTTTTCCACAGTGTCTGCCGTGAGAGCGAGCGGTGAGAATGTGATAGTGTGGTGAGCAGTTGGGGCCCGGGGAAACAGTGCGCGTTGTTCGTCGTTTTCTGAATCGTAAAATCTTTTAAATACTACTGGAAATAAACAACACGTGAATATGCTGTTTGTGCAGTTCAAGTCTACTTGTTTTCCCTTTAGACATACAGGGTGGGGCAGAAAGATTTACCTCTTGATTTTCTTAAATATTTCGGCCCCGAACAAAGATATCAAATTGATTTCTGGCACATATATGCAGTAACATGTACACATCTCAGCGACGGCATAATGACTCAATATGGTCACCTTTGTCCTTCACCACTGCTTCGAAACGTCTCTCTGCGGAGGGGCACGAGCGCCGCACTGTGTCCCCGCCAAGATTCGACGGTGCCGTCTCGAGGGCCAGCTTCAGGGCGGCGATTCTGCTGTGTGGCACTGCACACACCCTCCTCTCTAAGATGGCCCAGATTGCGAAGTCCATCGGGTTCAGGTCTGGACTTGATGATAGCCGAATGTCTTTGTCCCAGAACCCAGGCATGTGGGTCTTCCACCACGGTTGAGCGATGTTGGCCGTTTGCGGCGGCGCACCGTCCTGGACGAAGACGCATCCATCTCAGAACGACTGAGTGACCCAAGACAAAGCATGTTCCTCCAGCAGATGGACTTGAACCTCTGAATTCACTTTCACAGCCTCCTTGATGAAGACCAGGGCTCCTTTTGAGCCGTCGGATGCGACGGTAGCCCAAACCATGACACCAGCAGGCTTCAAGCAACAAAAAATGGTGCGAATAGCAGGATCAATGCTGGATGGACCATCTGCCAAAATTTTGACGCTTTGGGAGTGTCTCTGGGGCTCAGGCATGAACATGTGTCATTGGACCAGCAGAATGCCTTGTTACCGGCGCTCCTGATCTCCTCCAATGTCTTTTGGATCCTATGTAGCCGGTTTTCCCTGGATGCCGCCGAAATTAGGTGTCGACGTTGCATCCTGTATGACATGAAGTCTAAGCCGTCGTTTACGATTCTCTTGGCGGTTCTGGGCTAAACAACGAGTTCCCTTGGCAGTTTGCGCATGCTTCGCCTACGAATTGAAACACCTTCTTATGCACGATATCAACCAGCTTTTTGAAGCGGAAATCCCTTGTTCTGCCTGGCATGTACTTCGACGACACTAACACTGTCTTTTTAAGTCATTTAATTACACTGCAAACAGCTTTTACGGCAACACCGAGCTGTTTGGCAACGCTTCGGGAGCTGTGGCCAGTCTACTTCAGCGCCGCAATTTGGGCTCACTTAGTCATCTTCGCCATAGCTCACCAACAACTATTACAAAATGTAAAAACGATCTTAAAGTTGATACATGAGTCAGTTGGGAAGCTGCATGCAAAATTTTATCAAAATCCGTTCATAACTTTTTAAGTAATGGACTGAAAACAAACAGGTAAATCTTTCTGCCCCACCCTGTACAATCAGCTGAGGGTCTGGAATCTGGATAACCGTCGTGTTATTGACTTATTTCGTTTTTGTCCGGACTGCCGCCTGCCACGTCGATTAAGCCTACGTCACCAAAATATTGTCATCAATAATCAATCGCGCTAATTCTGTGAAATTCCCATGCCGGAACTGGCATTGGGCGGACTAAATCCGTCAAATTGAGTCCGTCGCGGCAGATCAGCGGGATCAGCGTTCGATCGCCCCGCTGAGTGGTGCTGAAAACCCGACCCGAGCGCCGAGGGACTCGCTATTCCCTGGGTGGTATGCGTTCATTGGCAGTGTTCTCGTATCTTTGGACGGGGAAGGTTGTGATCTAACCGTGCAGACACGTACTCTGCTGCACTTCGAGGTTGTAACATTCTTGAAATATTATCTGGGCTCAAAGTCTCAAAGCCAGCTATCCGATAAGCCTCATCGTTAGTAAGTACCAAAGTGCATGACACAGCGTCTCACACACTCACCTACATAATAACGCGGCGGGCAGGTCATCCATCATACGAGCTAGGCTTGCTGCACTCACTACGGTACAGGTGTACGGACCTGGCAGTGTCACCCTCGCCGCGCCGAGCACCATCATTGTATAACTGTGAGAGCCAATAATGAGTAATGGATCCATAGCGGACATCAGGGCCTGGTCTGAAACAGCCGTATTCCTTGCAAAGCATGAAAACTGAACACCTTTTCATAGGAAACGTTTGCTCTCTTTGGTACATGAACACACATGGAAACGAAATCCGACGAGTTTTTTTTCAGATACCTTTAGAGAGTGCCTCCCCAAAGTCCCCATCCCCGTAATTCTCAATGCCCCCATTCAAGGACCGCCAATGTGAGACCGCATACAGGTCGGCGGGTAGTCTCCGTCGCAGGGCAGTCCTCAGCACGGGCACACACTGTCACTGGAGGCACCATGGTTCTGCCTGCCTCGCGTGGTGGTAGTGTCAACAGGCATTGTGTGTGCGATCCGTTCCGACTCTACGCTGATGATGCACGTCACGCAACGCCAGCTGACGTCAGGCGACGTCAGGTGACGTCACGTGAGGGGCGGTGTGTGAGTGAGTAACGGAGGGGTGTTAGGGGCATACTTACGTGGGTCCCGGGCTACAGCGATTGGGTTGCGAGGGGAGGGGCATACTGAACTGACGGGCCCCAGCTATGTATTAGCGGCGGAATGAGACTGAAGTGCCGGAAAACAGCGGAACTTGGACCAAGTTATCGGAAGTTACCGTCTTTGTTCAATGGCGTTGTCATTGAATGACGCGCTGTTTACAATGCTGTTTCGATGTTGTTGGACTTATTCGAAATCACGACACCAAATGAAATGTGTGTAACGATGTTTCCTCCTCCACTCCTCTGTGCTTTATGAAAAGCTCATAAGAGCTCACTGTGAAATGATCCATTTAAAGCTGATAGCAGCTTGTTGACAGCCGAATGATATAGGTGTGTCAGTTGATGTATTTTGCGTAGTCGTCATCTGACGTTTCATTTAAGCTAATCAATGTCAGGAATAACATTATACGCTCTCAATTTGTTCAGTATAACCAGGCATATTGCAGGGATGTTTCATCAGAGACTTGGAAAATCGGCCTAATGAAAAAACATAAAGGTTCTTTGGGTATGATCTGTCAACAGTACTGGAGAACTGTCTAGATCCAGGCTGACGATAAATTCGCGAAAGTGGTGCTCGTTTTTCTTACTAAATTATAACGTAAAATTTGTTCATATTCATGAACAAATTTTAATAGCACTTAATAATGTTTTTTTGCAGGAACCTATCCTTAAACCCTCGCCCCGTTGGGGGGGGGCAATTTGACCCCCCCCCCTTTTGATAGGCGGCGGAACGGGGAGGGCACCGGGGCACCGTGCCCCTCTTTGATTTTGGCATTTTAACATTAGCCCTATGGGCGTTGCATAGAGAGAATGGGACCAAAAGTCGGCAGTGCCCCCCCCCCCCCTTAATTTAAGGTGTTCCGCCGCTACTGCCCCCCCCCCCCTGTGGTTTTTCCTGAATAGCAAGAAAACGGCGGCGCCGCCAAACCCGGGCATCAATTTGACACCTTCACACAAAATTTCAAGTCTTAGGTCATCTTTGGTCAGGAGTTATTGAGGTCAAACTGAGGTCATGTTCGAGCAAAAATGAGCAAAAAACATGACATCTTGAAACGCTCACCAATTCTACAGTTAACAAGCAATTTTAAAGTTCTTTATGTGGTTGTGTAGAGAAAAGATGGTGCTACAAAACTGCTGTCTCAAATTTTCGAAATTTTGGGATTTTGACCCCCAAAAATAAAAAAAAAATGATTTTTTAGAAAAACTAAAAAAAAATCCAAAAAATTTTCGAATTTCGAAAAAAAAAACGGAATATATGTGACAGTCCCTGCGCTCTTCGATATACATACCAAATTTTAGATCGACACCTCTTTTTTTTGGCGAAGTTATAGCAACAAAAAAACTGTTAAAATTGATTAAGTCAATTTTTTAACTCAATTTTTAGCAATTATAGACCTCGTAGCGCAAAACAGAGACCACCATTGAACTCCCTGTGACGAGCTGCATTGATTCGATACCCATTTTATGCAAAAATATCAACTTTGAAATTTGACCTAATTTGACCTGACCTTGACCTGACCTTGACCAAAACGTGACCTAAGCTGGCCCCAAAGACTGCCTGACCCACATAATCGCATTTGTCATGTAAAATGGACCATAAAACATGTATCACACGACACTTTCATATTGTGAACCCCCAGTGACCTGACCTCTGTGACCTGACCTGGTATCAGTGACCTCAAATAGCAAAATATGTGTTTCAAGAGCATTTCCCCATCGATGATTTTCAATGAAATGCATTTTACTCGATTTTACAACGCATTTCTTGAAATGCCTGTAAACGGTGAAAATTTGACCTTTGACCTGACCTGTGACGTCATCGGTTTGACCTAGGTCAATAAAATTGGGTCACAAGGTAGTTCCCTGATAGGGCTATCCAACACCGTTTGCCGCTTGTCGCTAGGTTGCGTGGTTCTCGAGATCTCAACGTTGAATGTTGAAAGAAATGTTGGGGGGGGCAATTTGCCCCCCCCCCCAACAGGGCGCGTTGCTCGGCAGAGCCCAACGGTGCGCGGGTTAACAAAAACTACTCTGATAATGTGGAGTTGCAGATCATCTTTCACGGTATTGTAGTTTGAGTTAGTTAGCGCTATAGTTATAGCCCATGGCCGTATTTCTTTCTAGTGACGTGTAATGGCTGTCCTGTTTTTATTTATCTCCTAGCTTGTCGAACACAAGTCACGCTGTGATGCCCATACATTATCCATACGTCGCTATGAATCCTTTAAAAAAAAAATCCTTAGAAACCTCCACCGCCAAAGGAAGCTTTCCGTCATCTGCGAAGGGAATATTTTGTTGGATGATTGTTGTAATCACGAGACATTCTGAAATAGAAATGCGTATTCATTTTTTCTTCAGTATTGTTGCAAGTTTGCAACTAGTGGTCACGATTAGTTTCTCTTTGTCGCTGAATTGGCAGTAGAAGGTGTTAACATAATGTGCCCACCAGTTTTGCTTGGCTTTTTCTGCACCAGCCTCTGCTATACATACCTTCATTCAATACTAAATTAACCGGATTTGTCATCAACGTAGCCGTAATCAAAATGTTTGATTTCATCTGCCCCGTTGTGCAGTTCTGTTGTGTACGGCGAGTCGCCAACTGCTGACGCCGACGAGTATTCATATTACAGGCAATTACCCAGGCTGCGGTAACCTAAACTGGAGCTCGCGAGGTTTGTTAACCCGCGCCCCGCTGGGGGAGGGGCAGAATCTGCCCCCCTCCCGTTTTTCGCCAATAACTTCTAAACGCGTTACGCCAGCGACGTCAAACTTTCAGTACCTTATCATACATCAATTTGACACGTTCGCTGAAAATTTGAGCGAAATCCGTCGGAAAATTTTTGAGAAATTGACTTTTTAGTGACGTCATGTTCGCCATTTTCGCCTCAAAAACGGCAAAATTTCAAACGCCGCTAACATCTTCATTTTTAAAGGAATCAAGACGTAACAAAAAGGTTACACGTGATTCAACTTTTTCTATCAAATGGCTGTCTCGGTTTTTTGAAAATTTTGGAATTTCGCCCAAATTTTTCAAAAACTGACTTTTTTAGGAAAATAATTATAAAATCCAAAATTTTGAGTGTATCGAAAAAATTGTCCCACCCACCCTGTATGTATAATGTCCACCCCGTACCCTGTACCCTGCCCCCCCCCCCACTCCGCCCCACCGCTCCCCACACCCTGTCCCACCCACCCTGTATGTATAATGTCCACCCCGTACCCTGTACCCTGCCCCCCCCCCCACTCCGCCCCACCGCTCCCCACACCCTGTCCCACCCACCCTGTATGTATAATGTCCACCCCGTACCCTGTACCATGCCCCCCCCCACTCCGCCCCACCGCTCCCCACACCCTGTCCCACCCACCCTGTATGTATAATGTCCACCCCGTACCCTGTACCCTGCCCCCCCCACTCCGCCCCACCGCTCCCTAAACCCTGTCCCACCCACCCTGTATGTATAATGTCCACCCCGTACCCTGTACCCTGCCCCCCCCCCCACTCCGCCCCACCGCTCCCTAAACCCTGTCCCACCCACCCTGTATGTATAATGTCCACCCCGTACCCTGTACCCTGCCCCCCCCCCCCCACCTCCCCCCCCCACCCCTCCCTACACCTTGTCCCATCCACCCTGTATAATGTCCACCCCTCCCCCCACCCTGTACCCCCCCTCCGTCACCTGGTGCCCTGTCCGGCTCTCTCCGCGCACTCTGCCGCCGCTCCGCCGCTCTCCCCGCCGTCCTCTCCGTGCGAGGCGAGAGGTATGACCGGGCCGCGTCACCGGATGTGGCGCCTCTGGCAGAGGGCAGCCGCACCGAGCTCTGCAGAAGTTCTGAAAAGAGAGAGAGAGAGAGAGAGAGAGAGAGAGAGAGAGAGAGAGAGAGAGAGAGAGGGAGAGAGAGAGAGAGAGAGAGAGAGAGAGAGAGAGAGAGAAGAGAGAGAGAGAGAGAGAGAGAGAGACCCATCACCGTCAGCTAGTGGTTGACAAATCAGCAGGTGCTTCGATTAAAATCGACAGGTGAATGCCACAACGACTCTTCATTGATGGACAGGCCGGGGTAATGTTTTAGAATAAAAAAGAATGCAATCGTTGAACCCCATTGAGTAACAGCACGATAAGGACGAAAACGACGCAAAGCATTTTATTTCAATGAATTATATTCCTCACGCTTCACAATTAGCAGCAAAACCGGCACAACCTCTTCCGCAGAACAGACGAGGCTACAGTCACCTACTCGCTCTCCCTAAATTCTAAACTTGATTTCTCGGCCCCATAAGCCGCTCCAATCCAGAGCAGTCATTGTTTATCCACCGGGGCCTGAACAGCTGTCCACCCCGCCCCCTCCTGACGTACCGATCGTCTCGAGTTGGAGCTGCGCCTCTGGCAGCACCTGTCCGGCTGCAGGTTGGCCTGCTCCGTCTGGACGCCCGTCTGCACCGGGTTCAGACGGAGGGCCGTGCGCAGACGGTCGGCGTCCGATGACAGGCGAGCAATCAGGTCATCCTGTCGTCAGAGGAAAAGGGTTACGTCTCTCATACATACATACATACATGCATATACAAACACCAGTAAAACGCCTTTTGGGCGACTAACGGAGCGAGCGAGAGGATGGGCCTTGCACGTGCGAAATTGCGAGGGGGTACCTCCAACTAACTTGTAAATGTACACTGCACCCTACTAACCGGTCTTTAGCGATGTGCCAAATTTCAGCGCAATCGGCCTAGCCGTTCTCGAGATCTGGAAGCGGCACACTGCACGTGCGCACGTGCAAGCGGGGTCCAAACTGACTTTTGCACGGCACCCTAACTGGTCCCCAACCGTGTACCAAATTTGAGCGCAATCGGCCCAGCCGTTCTCGAGATCTGGGAGCGCCCCCTGCACGTGCGCACGTGCTGTAGCACCCCAACCTTAACACATGCAGATGAATTATCTGATGGAGACCTAACTGTGTACCGAGTTTCAATTCAATCGGCCCAACCGTTGTGCCGTTATTGAGGTTGCAATTTTGGGGTTCTTAAAAAATGTCCAACTTTACCACGCGCCACGTGCGGTGGTTGGCAAGAACGCATGGTGGCCATCACACCACAGCACTTTTACGTCCAAGTGACATTCAGTAAAGAAGACCGCTTGTCAATCGGATGTCCCGTTCCTAAGATATTAGCTTTTGAAGAGCGTCCCCACGGCCGGCCGGCCGGCCGGCCGCTCATACTCAGGATTTTCCCTTAATTCAGTATTCAGACTCCGCTCGCTTCGCTCGCTCCGTAATCACTAATGATTAGCACTAGCACGTCACTATTAGTGATATCACCCACCATCGACACATATACGGGTTATTGGATGTGGCTACCGTGAACTGAAATAACATCCTTGCATCAGAGTAGTCAAGGGCCAATGTCAATGTTTGTCGCTGAGTCAGTCGGTCACGGGACCGGGCCGCGTCACCGGATGTGGCGCCTCTGGCAGAGGTCAGCCGCACCGAGCTCTGCAGACACCCTGCCAGCTCCGAGCCGTCAGTCCGAGGTCGGCAGCCGACGCCGCCGGCACCCCCTGCTAGGCCAGCATGGCAGTGCACACAGTGATCGGGGTGATACTTGTCGTCTGGACTGCCCTGGCCGGGCGGTCCGCGGCGCAGCAGCAGCAGCCGGCCGCCCTGCCCACCGCCGACGAGGTGTACGGCTACATCGCAAGAGCCATTCATCGAGAGCTCCAGCCCGTCGTCAGCAAACTCGAGTCTCGAGTGGAGTCGCTGGACAAAGTCGTCAGCAGACTGGGGTCTCGGGTGGAGTCGCTGGACAACAGAGTGGCTCAGCTCGACTCCGGGGTGAGTGCACCGACCGCCCACGTGTTGACGAACCGACGGGGTGAGCAGATGGGTGAGCTGTCCCGTCAACTGACTGGAATCACTGCGAGACTCGACAGCCAGCAATCACAACTGAGCGAGCTCAACAACCAGCTGGACGAACAAAAAACGACTCAGCGTGAGGTTTCAGTCAGAATGGATAACCTGACCTCCCAGGTTGACCTTCTAGGATCCAAGCTGACCCAAGCCATCAACAACACATCATCCCAACAGGAGCGTATTGATGGCCCAGCTGCTAAGGTAAACCATCACCATCCTCCCCGTGACTGCAGCGGTCTGCCTGTCAACTCTCCATCTGGTGTCTACCTCCTTCGGCCCAGTGGTAACAACACACAACCACCCGTCGAGGCCTACTGTGATATGGATACTGCCGGAGGGAACTGGACGGTGATCCAACGACGAGACGATATCCAGCCCCACCAGGACTTCTACCTCGGATGGACCGACTATAAGGAGGGCTTTGGTAACGTTACCAAAGAATTCTGGTGGGGCTTGGAACACGTTTATCAGCTTACGTCATCGGGCCGACAGTTCGAACTCCGCGTTGATCTCGAGGCCTTTGACGGTAATAGATCATACGCTATATACAAAGGGTTCAACGTCTCCTCTGAGCTGGATGGGTACAGACTGAGCTGTACCAACTACTCGGGACCTGCCGGGGATGGTCTAGTGGATAGCGTCAATGAGAAGTTCTCTACCCGTGACCGTGACCAGGACGACTCGTCTTACTTACACTGTGCACAGTACCGTCAGGGGGCCTGGTGGTACTACGGGTGCGGGAGGAGCAACCTGAACGGACGGTACCGGGACGGCGGTGAATGGGACCACACTGGAATACGGTGGTGGGCGTGGAGGAGACAGGAGTCACTGAAGAAGACCGATATGAAGATCAGACCCACGTACTAATCTACACACTAAGGACATCACAGTGGTGTAGGTACACCGGTGACACGTGTACCGAGCCGGTGTCACAGTATTTACTCGAACACTAACACTGTAGTATGGGTTAGAGTGTGAAGTTCTTACTTACTCACGTGACGTTGTACGATGGTGCAACTCGGCGCTTTTCTGCTAATGAGAAGTATGATGTGCGATTATCTATAGGACTCAATACACGTATCCGTCGGTCTCTCTCTCTCTCTCTCTCTCTCTCTCTCTCTCTCTCTCTCTCTCTCTCTCTCTCTCTCTCTCTCTCTCTCTCTCTCTCTCTCTCTCCCTCCCCTTCCATACCTGTCTCTGTTGATCCTGCTCCAGTTGAGACATCTCTGCCTCGGCCCTCTCGGCCATTTTCTGTCGCAGCTGCAGCTCTGTGTCGGCGTCCGCCTCCAGCGATTTCAGGTGGTAGTCGTTCTTTTCGAGAGTAGACACGTCGGCACGCAGCTGCCGCTCTGGGGGCGTCACGCAGAGGCAGGGGGCGATCAGCGACGAGCTGGGCATACTCTGTGTGACATGTCTGGAGTCAATAAGGCAGACCGGTACAGAGAAAAATGGACATAATACGCCGGAGGGACGCGGGTAGTGACGAGGAGGGAATATATTACGGTGATTCGGAGCACAGGTGTGACGAATCAGAACACAGTAGCTTGTGTGTTTGTTAGGGTCTGCATATCATGCATCATCAGCAAGTCGCGATGTAATTTTTCACCTATTGTAACATGTAGTTACGGAGCGAGCGAAGCGAGCGTAGTCTTTCCTTAGATTAACGGAAATTTCTGAGTATGAGCGGCCGGCCGGCCGGCCGTGGTCACGATTCTGCGACGCTTATATCTCAGCAACCACTTGACCGATTTACACGCGGTAATTTTTGTAGGGTAGCTTCATTCCTTCTGCCAAGTATTGGACTATTCCTGATGCATGTGGGTGACCCCTTATGCACGTGCCACGTGCAAAACAAAGAGGTGTCCGTTTTGTAATTGTTGCAATATCTCGGTAGCTACTTGGCCGATTGCGCTGAAAGTTGGCATGTAGGTAGGCACCCACTAGGCACTACATATCCATGTGCCAGAGTTGAGGTTCTGCTGCACGTGCGCACGTGCATGGGTCGTTTCCAGATCTCGAGAACGGCTCGACCGATTGCGCTCAAATTTGGTACACAGTTAGGGACCGGTTAGTAGGGTGCCGTGCACAATAGGGTGTCTCGAAAAATAAAGTTGACATGCCTATAGTCCAAAACATTTGCAATCGAGTCTGCTGGTTTCGAAAATCGCAATAAAAAAATTATGAGCCATTGTCTTCAACAAGCGCAGTCGCGATTTCCAAAAGCTTGCACCTACTTTTCGGGCGTTGCAGTCTCCATTGGTTTTGCTTGGTGTTAGTGGCAGTAATAGTACGGTGGTTTTCACGAAAGTCTCAGGCAGAGTTCGTGGGCGAAGAGTTTAAGCGTAGTTTCAGGTCGGTAGTTAATTGACTTTATTTACATAGTGTAGACGTTGTCGATACACTTTTTAAAGTCACGTCTGTAATGCGAACTTCGCTTCAGCGCAGCTAAACTCTGGGCAAACCACGTCCGGCACCAGCCCATAATCTCAGTCGGAACTCGGACCAGACACGCTAGCGCCACAGACGCCTAGTCGACACTCGAGCCCCTCGAGCCCAACCGCGGCAGCAGCACAGTGATAACTTTCGTCTGCTCTTACCATAATCATAGTACCCAAGCCACAATTGTGAGCCGTCTCGTGTCCAGAGCCTACTTGCCACTTGGCGAGGACGAGAACGACGCCCGCTGCCGCCTGGAGGTTTGGTGAGTTTTACCTCGAGGGGCTGGGGCCCCCTGCAGTGGATTGAACTCTCGTGATGGTGTCGACTGTCGATGTATGCATTGGTGGTGGCCATGGCAAAGCCCGGTCCAAGTACCCGTAACCAGACCGTGATCCTGGTCCTGAATGTCCACCTAGCAGACCTTCCTACAGCTCCAATGGTCTCTTACACTGGCGGATCTGCAGGGAGGGGGCATTTTGGGCTATGTCCCCTCAAAGGTAAAGTGGCCTATTTGCCCCCCCCCCCAAACGATAATGAAACATAGTTCAATCAGTGCGTGGCCCAGGAGCCGAGTTAAACAGGGGGTGTTTTACCACCTCCCGGCCCGCAAAGGTTGCGCCAGGCACCGACCCGGAGCGGGTTAACTGGTCGACAAAAGCAATGTGAAGTGTTTACAAAGTGATATATAAAGGCAATGGTCGGGTGGGTTACCATTTCTATATTTTTCCTTTTTAGTTAAAAAATGTTCATCGTGTCAGGGCTGTGACGAAAAATAAGTGGCCTAAATCCGATGAGAAAATAGGATTTGGGGGTACGTAGGCTTGGCTCCTGCATGAGTTGCCCCACCAAAAAACGCAAATCTGGATTTGCTAGTCTTCCTCGCACGCAGCTTCCGTGGAGAAGCGATGTTCTCCGATGATTCCTGAAGCAGAGGAATGCTGCTAGTGCAAAATAGTGTCGCAGAAGCGTGTCGGCCATGACGGCCGATATCAATGTCAGCCGTGCGAAGTCAAGGCTCGACCTCCCACTTATCCAGACAAAAAAAAAAATGGAATGGAGTGCGCTCAAGAGCAAGACAGAAACGTAGAAAACGCCGTATATCATAGGTGTTGGCATTTTTACTGCATTTTACCTAGTCAGCGACATGGATATTAGCTTTTAGCATAACCTACTGTCAGCAGGATGAGTATCACTCAGGTAGCAATTTTTGGATATGTTGCGCTAGGAAAGTGTTTTAGTAAATGTTTATGCAACAAATGTATTGATTGGTTGAAAGATCGCAAGCTGAAGCGAGAACGCATTTATACGGTTTACGTGAAAATAACACCGAAGAAAGTCTATGGAGACTGCAACGCCTGAAATTGTCAGGAAAGGGTTACGATAGACGAGGTGCGCTGGTTCTTAACATTAAATGAAAATTTCTTAATCATCATTTCATGTCATAATAAGGCTAGATGCAAGTGGTTTTTGCTATAGGAAGTGAATTAATTTTTTTGACCCCACTTTCGAGACACCCTAGTGCACAAGTCAGTTTGGACCCATTTTGCACGTGCGCACGTGCAGGGTGCCGCTTCCAGATCTCGAGAACGGCTGGGCCGATTGTGCCCAAATTTGGCACGTCGCTAGAGACCGGTTTGTAGGGTGCCGTGCACAAGTCAGTTGGAGCCTTGGAGGTACCCCCTCGCAATTTGGCACGTGCAAGGCCCACCCTCTCGCTCGCTCCGTTAGTCGCCCCAAAAGGCGTTATACTGGTATAATAAGCTATGCTACGCTAGGGAAATATAGCATGATAAATAATATACAATAAAGAACATAAAGTACAACCGAAGTGTTTGGGATGGAAAGTATCGATTCATCTATTCGTCTCCACCGCTCTAATTGTCACTCTCCCTCCCTTCCTCTCTGACCCTCCCCTCCCTCCCTCTCACCCCTCTCCCTGTCGGCCTCCAGACGATCGCCAATCTCGCCATGTCTCTATCGGACGGCGGTCAGCGTCTGTTCGGCAGCTGCCCGCGCCTCGGCGGCCTCCGAGAGCCGCTGCTGCAGCTGCAGCAGCTGCTGCTGCTGTCTGGCCAGCTGCAGCTGCCGCTCGTACAGCTGCACGCCGCACGACTCGCCGTGTTTGGTGCGGGACCGCTGGTCCTTCCGCTGTCAGGGGGGGGGGGAGTTGTTGGGTGGGGTGGGTGAGGATTGGCCGGGTCCACTCGCCAGTATCGGGGCTGTACGGAAGAGAAATAGTCTTCTGGTTACCGAACACGACTAGTAACGGCTCAGGCAGTTCAGCGTCTCGTTCAGCCACAAAGTAGCAGATCTCCAGTCCACCCTACCAGTACAAAACAGCCAGTTTTCTCCACTAGATCCAGGACTATCTGGTTCTTCCCAGAGTAACATCCCTACTCACCCTAGAGTTTCTTCCCAAATTTAGTGTAGCTATGTAACCAATCAATCCAGAGCAATGCCGCCAGCGAAACCACCAACTCAGACAAATCCCCCCCCCCCCGGTCACCCACCAGCTCCACCATGTCCAGGTCCAGTTTCCCGATCTGTTTCCTCAGCAGAGCGGCCAGCGCCCTCTGGAATCTCTCCATCATCCGATGGTCGGGCGGAACACTGGCATGCTTTTTTTAACAAGCAAATAATCTGTAAATCATCAAAGATCACACAAAACATTAAAAAACAGCATTTTCCATTTAACGTTTGTTCGTTTTGTTGGGTTAGGCCCATTCGGTCTGACAAGACCATTTCAGAGCGGGAAGGATGATAGGAATTAGGGGGAGAAATTGGTCTGGGCAGACACCCTAGAGAGTCACCGGGGCTGAGCCCGTCCAAATGGACAGGCCGACCAGCCCCCCAAGCACTCACCGCACACGGCGCCTACGGGGTGTGCTCCCTCGGGAGCGGCGGTGCCTCTCCAAGGGCACCTTTATCTCCAGCCCGCATGAGATAAAGGTGCCTGTCCAGCCCGGAGTGGTGGTTGCGGCGTGGAGGAGAAAGATTTCAGTATCCTGAGGATAGATACGACGGAGCAGAGAAGATATTTATTTAACTAAAAAAAAAAAATACTTGGCAGGGTGGCAAAGCCGCCACTTTTCAATTGAACTTTGCCGCGACTCTTTTTGTTAAAAAACGAATATTTTGAGGCAAGATATCCATATGTAAACACGATAATAATACCTAAAGAGCTAAACTTCATCCGTGTATTGAACGTAGAGTCACTTCAATAATAGGTTTGCAAGTTAAACCCGCGCCCCAGTGGCGGTCTCAGCCAACTTCGCCCTAGTGGGGGGGGGGGGGGGGCATATGTTACCACCCACCTCTAACTCAAAAACTAAGAGGGATAGAAAGACGCGGTAAAAAGCAGTCGATAGCTCTCAATGCGTACGTTTGAAAGTATTTCAGTCATTTTTCGCCTTAGACCAATATTGGGGTCACCAAGGTCATCAAAGGTCAAAATTTGCCAATTGTCATTATATTTTTCAGAAAACATGCCGCTATCTCAGGAACTATGGTAGCTAGAAAAACGCATGGAACAGCAAACGATAGCTTTTGAGCTCTTCTTTTGAAAAGGTCATAATCAATATTGACCTCAGGTCAACGGTTTAGCCTCCAGAGGGCAAAAACTCCAAAAATAGCTGTTTTTACGAAAAGTGTTTTTCGACAATAACTTTTGACTACAAAAAGCCACGGCATTTCTATTGCCAGAATCGTGTTCCCCTCGCCGAGACGCGTCGAATGAACTATAATTTCACCTTGAAAGGTCAACTTCAAAATTTGACCTCAGGTCAAGGTGACCTGACCGGAAAAGGTCATGACCTGACCGGAAAAGGTCATGACCTGACCGGAAAAGGTCATGTTGCATATCAGTCGATGCGTCTCAACAAGACAAACACAATGAGACCATTCCCAGCGTTCTATCTCTTTCCAATCGCGAGTTATTGGCAAAAAAACTGTTTGTAGCCTCAAGTGACCTCGGATGACCTGTCTAGAGGCTACCAGCAAAAATGACACCTTGGTCATCACGAGTGGACTAAATCATTGTGATTCTGAAATATTTGGACTGTTCCTATGCGTACACACGGATCTAGAGGCATTTTCATTTTTCTCCATTGCCTTATAATGGTAAGGTCACGCCACTGACCTGACCTTAGGTCACGGATATAAAAAAAAAATCCGAGATAAACAAATTGTAGGCGCCCATAACATCATGCAATCCACCAAGTTTGAAACCTTTCTGACAAACACTGCAGGCTGGACATGATTGCAATTTTTTTAGGCTTGGTCAGTTAACCCGCGCCCTGCTGGGGGGGTGTTTGAACACCCCCCCTTGTGGTTTTTCGCGAATATCTCAAAAACGGCGGCGCGGAGCGCCGCCGTTTTTGGTACACCTTATCATACATCAATTCTACACATGTTGTGAAAATTTCAGACCAAGGTCATTCAAGGTCAGGTCACCAGGTCACTTGAAGTGACCTCACCTCATAAAAAGTTTCAATGTCTGTCATAGCTACACCGAGTGACCGATCAATTTGAAACTTTCAGCGATTGCTAAGAGCAATAGCATGTACAAAATTTTTATCTCAGAATTTTGATATCGATGACCTAAGGTCAGGTCAATTTTGCGACCTCCCCATTATAAGTCAATGGAAGAAAATTGAAATGCGCCTCTTTTGGACGAAAGACATTATAAACCCTCCCAAACACCGAATTACAAGTGGTTTAGACACACTGAACATGAAAATGGTGTCCGTGACCCCTGTTTATGCCCTGAGGTCATCTTAGGTAACGAATGGTATCTAACAGTTTTTCGCAAATAACTTTTGCTAGAGGCATGCTAGAGCGATGAAAACGCCTTAGATGTGTTCAGCTCGACGATACGGATCGACTGATATGCAACATGACCCTTTCCGGCCAGGTCATGACCTTGACCTGAGGTCAAATTTTCAAGTTGACCTTTCAAGGTCAAGTTATAGTTCATTCGATGCGTCTTGACGAGAGGAACACGATGCCGGTAAAAGTAAGCTCGCACAAGGCTTGGGTCAAAAGTTATCGCAGAAAAACTGTTTCCGAAAAAATCGGCAATTTTTGCAGTTTTTGCCCCCTGCAGGCAAAACCGTTGACGTTAGGTCAAATCTGAGAGAATTACTCAGAAAGGGCGTTATTAGGGCTATCGAATGCGCTTTTCCGCGGCGCTGTAGCTCTATTGGTTCCCGAGTTATGCGTTGGCTTCTTGGAAATTTTCGACATTCGACCTGGAAATCGGCGAAATTTTGCCTTCAATGACCTCTGGTGACCTGACCTTTGACCTGACCAAAAAATTGACCGAAGTGATTTCGTCATTATTTTTGACGCTCTTTCGAACGCCGCCTTCCGCGTATCGCTACATGGCCCAGGAGCCGAGTTACAAGGGGGGGGGGTGTTCAAACACCCCCCCCCCCCCCAGCAGGGCGTGGAAATCCAGGACCCCCAGCCGGGCGCGGGTTAACTTGACCTGGTGACCTGACCTGACATGACCTGGGGTCAAGAATTTCACACCTTGTCCAAAATTGATGTACAAGAAGCTACCCCAAGCGGCGCGGCGCTACGCGCCGCTTTTATTTATTTACACGCGAAAAACGCGACAGGGTGGTAACATATGCCCCCCACCCCCCCACTGGGGCGAAGGTTAAAAATGGAAGCGTCCAAAGTCGAAAACGTGGCAAAGTCACCCCCGTTTACGGTATGGGTATTGATGGATGGGTCACAACTCTTCCAATCGCGCGACAAAAACCCATCCATCGGCAGCTATCGCCGATAGCCAATCAGAGGAGCCCCCCCCCCGAGCAGCCCTCCCGGTCGGACCCCCCCCCCGGCAGCAGCCCCCTCCCCGCCACCAGTTGGATATTCCTGTCACCTACCTGTGGATGCGCGGTCATCACCGGGTTTCTAAAAATTGGTATGAAGGTGCACATAGAACATTTCTCTGACAAAATTTTGAAAAATGTTTTTTTTTTTGGAAGTTCTAGACCTCGTACGGAAACAAAAATAGCACCATGCGATTCGCCGTGAAAAACTGCATCAGATAGACACCTTTTTCGGCCTTAACCCACGAGCCGCTGGGGGGGGGCATAAAGTTGCCCCCCCCCCCTTACGTTTTGTGAAATATCTCCGAAACCTGATGAGCTACGAACGTGAAACTTGGCATAGCTTCAAATGAATACCTAGGCCATGTTTGAGGAAAGTTTGGTGGTTGTAGCACCTAAGATGACGTCACAGTGACGTCATAAAGTTTTGTCGTTTTCCGATATGGACCGTTTCTGATGACGCTGAGCATGAAACTCGACTGTAAATGAACTAGACAGCACCTGCTGTCATCCTAAAACATCTTACTACACTTCCATCTAGTTTCTGACCAATAATCGGCCCTTTATATTCGGTCCCATATATGTGATGTATCGTGAGGAATATGAGAGTCGCAAATCTATAATTTCACTTATGACGTCACTGTGACGTCATTTCAAATGGGATCGACACCAAATTTGGACACAACCTCGGCTAGGTATTCAGAAAGATGCGTGCAAAGTTTCGCTTTTCTATCTCTTCGCGTTGCGACGATATCGTCGCAGAAGTAAAGGGGGGCAACTTTATGCCCCCCCCCCAGCGGCCGGTGGGTGGCGCGGAGGCCCAGCGGCCGCCGGGTTAAAAACCAACTTCGAAATTTGACCTCACTTGACCTGACCTTGACCTGACCTCGACCTGAAATTCATCCAGAGGTGGTCCATATCACTTATTGAGTGTGCCTATTGAATTATATGAGTAAAATGACCCATAAAACATGTGTCGCACATGCCCTTTTCTATATTTTGTTTTGGTGACCTGACCTGACCTGACCTGACCTTGACCTTGACCTTTGAATGACATTGTATGCAACGAATATTGTCTTGGTAGTCTAAGAACACGTTTTGGGCAATCAGTCTCAGTCCATTCTTCGGCAACTACGGTGCAAGGCCGATACTGTAGAAACTTGCATTTTGTACCCTTGACCTGACCTTGACCTGACCTCTAACCTACTTGAGCAAAAAAATTTGGGCTCTTAAGATCCGCCTTGTTGAGAGCTTTCGATTGCCGTTTTCCCTGTCTTTTTGCGACCATCGGTTCGGAAGTTAGACAGGGGGGGGGGCAGCATCTGCACCCCCCACCCCCCAGCAGGGCGCGTATGGCTGAATAGCCCAGCGGGGCGCGGTTAAAGTGGAGAGAAGTGATATCCAGAACGTACTGACAGCAGATGAACAACTGTAAGATGACGCTGAACTTTGGTGCTTTTGACTGAACTTTGGTGCTTTTGACTGTCGTCAGGTCGTAGCTTGTAGGCCTAACTTGCTTTGGAACATGATGTTTTTAATGAATCGGATTAAACCGCATTTTCATTCCTCCGAGCTTTCTCTTTGTACGGCAAAATACATATTAGACTGAAGTGCAAATATACACATTTTAATAATTTTTTTAATAAGTCTTTGGCTCCCTTTCTTCAATGTAATCCAAAAACGTCAGACTAGAACTCATTAGTTTTCATGCAAACAGCACAAAGCTCACTTAAAGGTAGTGTGCCACCTTTGAAAGATTTCCCATTT